TAGCTCCTCATAAACACAACATATTAACAGTGAGTGAAATCCATAACTCAAGTAGTTCATTTCAAGTGCAAGCATATTTATTATATGAATTAAAATCTGTTCAGGGGGAAAAAGCTAAAAAGTATTTGTGAATTTAATCAACAATGTTACCATGTGAGACAAGGAAAGCAATTCTACTGCTTTACTCTGCAATGGTAGACTTGCAAAGTATAGACAGTGCTCAGTTTGGGGCACTTGTGTATCAAGAACAACTTTGATAAAATAGGTAGTCCAGAGAGGACAGATATTATTCCAGTAGCTTTTGGAAACATCATTTAGCAAAGGTTGATGTAATCTGATTCACCTGCAGACCTTAAGTCAGTTCTCCGTATTTGTTAAATTAAAGAAAGCAGCTGAACATCATCCTGTGTCTACTGAAATTAGGAGGGAGTGTAAGACACACAGTAATCTTACCACAGCACTTAAGCACGGAAACAGCTTGTCTAAGGTGGATGTAGAATTATGTTCACTAAACATGTAACCTGTTCTCATGGATAAATATCTGATTACCATTGCACACGTGTACTTAACTCTTCCCAAGATCAACAAGACAAACATCAACCTCTCAGAGATACCCTTGGCATTTCTACTGTTATGTAGAATTCTCTAAAGCAAGTTCAGAAATTGTGGAGTTATAAATTTGTGATAATTTCAAGTACTGGGGACAGATCTATAGGAAACTGTACACATAGCAGGAAGAAAATGCAAAGTGGGCTGCTAACACCTGCCAAGACCAAAGAAACCATAAACTATAGGCAAAACTATATAACTCTATGAAGGATCCCTAAGAAGCTCGGAAGAATCCAAGATATAGGAATCAGGCAGCTAAACACGCTAGCATTTTAAGTGATATTCCTACTCTACTGACTCAGCAATATATGTTCAGACTAAGATAATTAGGAAATAAGGGGAAAAACCCTAGAACAGGGAGAAAAACTAAATTATGTGTCTCTGAAGGAAGATGTTCCACATGATTTAACATAGGTAAGAGGTGGAGATTTAACCCTGTTCAAAGCGTTCCCCATGCCACATGGAAGAAACTGTACTGTTCACAGAATCATAGAATGTTGTGAGTTGGAAGGGACCCACAAGGATCACTGAGTTCTACTCTTGCCCTAGCATAGGACAATTCCAAGATTCAGACCATGTGTCTGAGGGCCTTGTCCAAATGCTTTTTGAATGTTGTCAGGCCTGGTGCCATGACCCCCTCCCTGAGAAGCCTGCTCCAGTGCTCCACCACCCTGTGGCTGAAGAACCTTTTCCTCATGGCCAACCTAAGCTTTCCCTGGCACATCTTCCTGCCATTTCCCCTGGTCCTATTGTTGGTCGCCAGAGAGAAGAGATCAGCACCTGCCCCTCCTCTTCCCCTTGTGAGGAAGTTATAGACTGCGATGAGATCTCCTCTCAGTCTCCTCCTCAGGCTGAACAAACCAAGCAACTTCAGCTCTCCTCATATGGCCTCCCCTCTAAACGCTTCACCAATTTTGTGGCCCTCCTCTGCACACTCTCTAGTGATGGCAAGGTTCATGATCAAAAGTCTCATAGTAAGGGAATAAAGCCATCAAAATCTGTAATACAGAATAAACACACAAGCTTCCAGATGAGGCAAAGAACCCCTTCCAACTCTCAACATTCTATGATTCTATGTCTGTAAGGCTCTTTTTGTTGCTACTGACACCTTTATCGTGCTTATGACCTGTTTGTGGAACTTATAAATAAGTGTTAGGCCATTCAGATTTGGATTGCTCATTTAGGTATTTCTTCACTTTATATAAATACAACACCATCCCTACAAATTCACAGAATTGTGCTGGTTTTGGCTGGGACAGAGTTAGTTTTCGTCACAGTAGCTGGTATGGGGTTATGTTCTGGATTTGTGCTGAACAACACGTTGATAATGCAGAGATGTTTTTGTTATTGCCAACTGACCACAGGAATATTCCATACCATATGATGACACCCTCAGCATATACAGTTGGAGGAAGAAGGAAGTGGGGGATGTTCGGAGTGATGGTGTTTGTCTTCCCAAGTCACTGTTACACATGATGGAGCCCTGCTCTCCTGGAGAGGGCTGAACACCCGCCAGACAATGGGAAGTAGTGAATTAAGTCCTTGTTTTGCTTTGCTTGCATGCGCAGTTTTTGCTTTACCTATTATACTGTACTTATTTCAACCCATGAGTTTTCTCACTTTTACCCTTCCGATTCTCTTCCCCATCCCAGCTGGGAGGAGTTAGAGAACAACTGTGTGGTGCTTAGTTGCCAGCTGGAGTTAAACCACAACAGAATTAAGCAAAGATTTCTGGCAAAACTCTAAGTGGATAAATGCAAGGTTTATCATTCTGTGATATTTTTCTGCAATACACAGGTAAAAAAAGCTCAAGATCAAAGGCTTGTGCTTTTGGAAATTGGTGTGGGTTTGCAGCTAGCTTCCTATAAGCAGAATTTTATTACATCAACAGGAGAACAAGCTATTTAATATTACTTTTCACTTAGGGAAGGTATTTTTAAACAAGTGTTAAGATACTACTATTAAAAAACCCACCTCTTTTTTCAGAATACATAGAATCTATAACTCAGTCAATCGAGTCACTAATTACAATTTTCCAAGAATATGAAAGGTAGTAAATTCCTTACCTTTTACTTTTGCAATAACTGTTCCTGCAGCACTAAGAATATCAACTGAGTTTAGAGTCTGATGTTTATTTATCACTGCTTTTAAAACACGCAGCAACTCCCCCAGTCGTTCATGTACTACCTGATGCAGGCCATCTTGATTTTCTGCAAAAAAGTAAAGGAGGAACTACATTAAAACAGTGAATTAACTCCCAAACACATTACAAACCCCTTTGATGGTATTCAGACGCACTGAAGTCTAGGCCATACAGAAGCCAGGCCTGCTTAGAACAAACAAAATGTTTAAAAAGAGAGTCATACTAGCATTTGCCAACAGTTTACCTGCAATGTTGTATACCGTTTACACATAAACTCGTTTCTCCCCAAAAGTCACCTAAATTATTTTGTGGAATTAGGCCTAATCTAGAAAAATTCTCAAACAAGCACACGTATAGGGCAAATGGTTTCTAGGGCATACACCTCTTGCTGTGTGCCCCTATATCCTTCCACTCCTCCCTGCCTTATTTTATAAAAAATAGTTCTTGTTGCATACGTGGCACAGGTTAAACCACAAGCTCTTCCGTTCTGTTACAGAAGAGGTGCTGGTGCATGGAATTAGAGTTTCACACGCGCTAGAGTGCTGCGTTGCAAGCTGTGCTAAAAAGCTTTCAAATTCAGGAAAGTCTAGCTTATGAAAAAGAAAAGAGGATCTAATACAAGCTGACTCACTTCCCCACCGAGCAGAAAGGAACGGCAATCCTGTGTTGTCTGTGGCCATGATAACAAACAGGTCAATACAGACAATTACAGTACAGTGCAAATTGATGCAGTGTTACTCAGAGAACAGTTTCAAATCTGAGCCATTTTGTTCTGGCTACAAGACGTTATACTTAGTCTAGAGGCACCTAAATTTTCCCGAGGAATCAACGAAGTACAACATGGCACATCAGTACAGTATATCACGACTGTCAGGTGGGTAGATGGGGGGTCTACATACAATCACGTGTAATTTGTATCAAATGCAAAAGCGAGCCTTCTAAGCACCACTGTGCTTCAGGCCTTATCTCCCTAGATGTCAAATATCAGGAGATTTTTTCTACTCAGACTAGCTTATACATGGTCAAAGGAAAAACACTGACTCAGGAAGCAGACTAAGGCAAAAACTTTATCAACCATTCACTGGCACTTTGCATGTTTTTTCCTGCTGGAGAAGAGTAAGAAAGTCTGTATCCTTAACAGGACACACAGAAGTTTAGGAAAACCCATCTTACACAGCAGTAAATTAAGGAAGCTCTAATTAATTTATTAAAGAGACATAGTTGTGGTTTAATCTTTATTTACATACATACATAGTGGTTTTTAACTGAGGACTCAAACACAGCAAAGGCAAAAAAAGGTCAAGAGGTTGGTACTAAATGTGGCTGGGATTCAGCACCTACACATTAGAAGCAGAGGAAGTTCATGGCAAATACACACTGATCTAGAGGCACACTATAGCTCAGTTTGGAACTTAATGAGGAAAGCACTCCAAGCTTGAAGCAATTTCCACTCAAGCAATAATAGCGGAAGCTGGGACCTTAGGTAAGAGATGATTTATAGGGGATATGAAAGAATTCTAGAAAATCATGAGACAGGAAAATAGTGGGTAGAATCAATCGCTTACCAGTGTCTTTCAGTTAAACATTACACATCTCAGATGATTAAACAGAGCAAGCAAGAGCCAGATCCAAAACAGAAAACAGTGATTTTTCATGTAAGAGACCTGTGGACATTTCTGCCAAAACACAGCATTGACACAAGAAACTGACATGGAAACAAGGAGATACTGGACAAGCTCTTCTAAGTTTCCCTGTGGTTTACTAATGAGACAATAAATGCCCTACCAGGTCAGGCCATGGGTCCAGCTAGTCTGTGCCTTATACAGCTAGTGGGCAATGCTGCTGAGGAGACTAGGCAAGACTTGACACTTCTGCAGTCCAGTCCCTCAGCACCCACAACTGCTGCACCACAGTTGCTCCTATGCACTTCAGTAACTGCCTACAGACCTGCTGCCTTTGAATTCATTTAATTCCTTTTGAACCTGCCCCCACAACTTTTAACTCAAGTACTCCACTCTTCAGTCTACTGGACTACTAAGCGCTGTACTAAAACAAACAATGTAACCTGCAACAGCTCAAGAGCTCCTCCAAATAGAAAAGGTTCAGATGATGGGAGAAGTATCATATATGCCCAATTTTCCATTTTTACTTTTCTCTAGCTATTCACTTTTGGCAGCTCTTGGAGCTCAGACACTGAGTTAGACACAGCTTTACTCTGAGCCAGCATGGCCACTGCCACCTTCTAACACCTGGAGAAATCCTATACCTGTCAAAGTGAAACCAGATAATTTTAATGGTCCCTTTGGGCTTTAATTCATGAAACCCTCAATTGTACTCCATCTGTGCAAGAATAAATGGCGTTGGGAGTACCAGGTAGCTCCAGGCAAAGGCAATGGGGAAAAGGAAAGACAGCAATGCTGTACTGATGCCCACAAACCCAGAGCAGAACAGACAACACAGAAAATATATCTGAAAATTATAGTAACATGTTATTTTCAGGAAATAGGATATTAGATAGTTACAGGTAATTCCAGTTAATTCATTAAGTAACACATCTAGAGTATAGACTTAAGGTTTGAAATACTTAAAGAGGAAGTAGTGTCTCATCTCTTCTTACAAACCTCCAGAGGTAGCCAAGTTTTCCACAATCCTTCATTGGGACTAATGATTTATATTGGCAAGACTGGGACAGACAGGCTTTTAACGGAGGCATTTGAGGGCTATATGCCCCAAACCTTCCCCACTGGTTGTCGCTGTATAACCAGAATATAGGCAGTCCTCACATGAAGGGCATGAATATTGTGGTCAACTGACTAGAGATAGGCTGCACAAATGCACCGTTTGACCAGAACTGCATCTCTTGCCTAGCCAAGATGAAGGTGTCCCTGTCTTCTGATGAACAGATGTCCACTTGTGGCTGGAGAGAAAAGAACTCCTAAACACGTGATCAGGAATACTCATGTACATGCCCCACAACCAGGTCCTTTTGGCAACACAGTGTGCAGACTTTAAGACCCCTAACAATCAGGGGAGGGAAAATAAGGCAGGAAAATAGCCAAACCAATCTCCAAATTACTCCCAGCCTGAGTGTCCTCTGGAAGGAGTCCATCATAGGCATACAACAAACTACATGAATTATTCTGGGGAGTTCAGAGTTCAGCTCTTAAAACTGATTAAAACCGACACAACTACAGGCTTGCCATTACAGGATAAAACAGCCTCTTGAGGTTCCTTAGAAGTTAGATCAAGGCCAAAACAAAAAAAAAAAAAAAAAACAAACAAACAAACAAAAACACAGAAGACACATCTAATCCCAAAATTCAGTTTCTTAGTATTAAGACTTTGTGTGTTACCAGAGCAAAGAAAGTGGGAGGAGGAGAGAGAGAGGGGAAAAAAAAAAAACCAAACAAACTTAAGGGACACAAGCCTCTTCAAGTCTGAAACAGAAGCAGTAAGCTTCAAAGGGAAATGCCAGATGAAAACAACTGCTCAGTTGAATTGGATGTTTATTCTACCATCAAGAATACTATCACTAAAATAATGCATTCGAGCATGAGATTAGTTATTTGTACTCTCAAAAGCAAAGGTCTGGCTACACCCAACTGGGATTTCTTTGTATTCCATCTCTGTGTTATTTGTTTACAAAACACCCAAAACATTGTTTCTGTGCCTCCAGAAGACAAAATGTCTGTGACACAAGCAGAGGTGGGGACAGAAGCCATCAGGAACCACAACTACACTGCATTCAGCAACTAACACTTACCAAACAGATGCTAAAACAGAGATTTCCTGTTCAGGACAGATTTATAAACCTCAGGTAGTAAAACCAAGCCAAATATGCCAGATTTACAGAAACACAGTTTTAATACTAAGGAGTCCAAAAATGGCTAAAAGACCAAAACAACATTAGAGCAAATACTGTTTACTGTGAAATGAATGCATGTAGCAGTGTGTCTCCAACAAGTTCCTGCAGCAATTCAATCTGACTTAAGCAGTCATAAAAATTAATATTAATTTTCAGCTTTTCTCCTGTTCCTTGTCTCACTGTACACATTCATTTATCTACATGAAGTAAAGCAGGGAATTCCTCCACCAATGGATGTTATATTGGGTTTAAAAATCTTTCTCAAGCTTAATAACACAAATTGCAATACCGTAGAAGACTACTTAGTACTCAGGACCAGAGGACTGCGACTGCCAGTGATCCTGAGTACAGAGGACCCTGTCTGCACGTGAGTCCAGCTGTTTGCTCAGGTGAATACAGTCTACTGGTATCTCCTGGAATAATCAGTCAGCCCTCTACCGCCCAAAAGAAAAACCAAAAAACACCCCCAAACAAACAGAGCTCTTAAAACTGATTAAAAAAAAAAAAAAAAAAAAAAAAGGGCCTGGAGACAGCTTAGTAGCCTATCTGTGAATCTTCTTTCTTTTATTGGGGTTTAAACTGTCGTTTACGTTAGCTGAAAACAAGCTCTTCCAAAATGTAAAGGCAACCACATGAAAGCATACTCTGTAGAAGAAATGGAGAAAGAAGAATAGGGTAAAAAAGCATGTATTCAAAGCTGACAAACCTAATACACAAGAATGATATAACAAAGCAGCTGGGAAGCCCGTCAGCGTTAGCCAAGCCATTTCAGTAGCAGCCTGTTGTCATTAGCATCCCACTCCTCGATGGTTTCAGTAACCACATTTTATAACTGCTCATTTATTTCTAATGTAAAAACAGCATAAGCTACCTATTTCCTAATTTTAGGCATTTCTCAACATGAAGCCTTTGTTTAGTAAATATTAGCAAGCAATAATGGCCTTACAGCAATAGATTCTGTTCATGTAAAACAAAATAAAATCTGCTTATCAAGCTTGTCAGTGCCAGCCACCCTCCCTGCCAAGTCAGGGCTGGTCACAATACATGCAGTCGGGAAAGGCATTGCTGTGTCAGTTGGCTGGTATTCTTTTGTCTGACCTGATCTATTGTTGGCCCAAACATTTCTGAAGTCATTTGTTCCAACAAATGTTTGCCAGGACAAGTTTAAATACAGACTAACATACAGTTTTCCCCCTATGGCCAT